AACAGTGCTTCTCATCTCCCAGAGGATTAAATGATACAGAATTACACGGTCTGGAGAACCTCCTGTTCTTTGGTATGAAACCCAGCATATTATGTTCATCAGTTCTTTTAATTTTCATGACAACCTTCAATGACAGAGTTGCCCAACAAACCTTTATTTGTTTTTTCAAAAACGTTTTGTTTAGATTTTTATTTTTTTAATAAGTTTTATTAGTGTATCTTTTTTATTTTTAAAAACATTTTTAAATTTTTTGGTACCGGGGATTGAACTCAGATCCTTGCGCCTTCGAGGCAGGTGGTGGAACCACTGAGCTAAATCACCAGCCCCCTTTATTGGTATATCTTAAATATGCATAATGATAATATTCATCATAGGGAATTTGTATCTGTACATGGTATATCTTGATTCTTTTTTAATTTTGACATTTCCTCCCCTTCCTTCAACTCCTCTTCCCCTTCTTGTTTACAAAAGCTTTGTTTCCATTTTCTCTTCTATTCTCTTTTTTTCCCTTTTCCTTTCCTTCCTTTCCCCCTCCACCCTCCCTAGCTCCCTTTCCCATTTGAACATTTTCTTTCTGTTTCACAACATCTGTTATACATTTTGGACCTTATTCACACTTTTAGTTTTTCACACCAGAGAAACCATGCAATATGTGAATATGTGTGTCTAATTTATTTCTCTTAAGAGTATGGTCTCAATGTGCAACCATTTACCTAGAAATGTCTGAAGTTTATCTTTCTTTATGACAGAGTGGTACTCTATTGTATAAAAAAACTTCTTTATCATTCATTGGTTGATGGGTACTTGGGCTCTTTCCAGGATTTAGCTATTACAAACTGTGCTGCTATAAACATGGGTGCACTGTTGTATGATGCTTTTAATTCTTTCAGGAAGTACCAAGAAGGGGAGTAGCTGGGTCAAATGGAATCACTAGTTTTAGTTTTTTAAGGGATCTTCACACTGATTTCTACGCTGGTTGCACCAGTCTACACTCCCACCAACAGTTTTACCCCACAGTCGCACCAGCATTTGTTATCGGTTGATTTTTTAAAAATAATAGCTATTCTGAGATGAAATCTCAGTTTGTTTCAACTTGTATCTCTCAAATGACCAGTGATGTTGAATGTTGTTCCATATATTTATTTGTTATTTCTACTTCATCATCAGAGAAGTGTCCATTCATTTCAGATGCCCATTTTTGGATTGGGTCTTTAAATTTGGGCAGTCTGATTTTTGAGTTCCTTATATATTCTAGATATTAGTCTTTTGTCTGAGGAACAGCTTGCAACAATTTTTTTCCCACACTGTGGGTTGTCTCTTCACTCGGTTAGTGGTTTCTTTAGCTGTGTAAAGGCTTTTTAATAAAATGAGTTCCCAGCTATTGATTCTTTGAGACATTTCCTATGGTATTGAGGTTTTGCTTACTAAAGACTTTCTTGATGCTATTTTTAAAGGTGTGGTTTTCCTAATGTCTCTCTCAGTGAGTATGTTATTGTGTACAAGAATGTTAATTGATTTTTGAGCATCAACTATCCAGCTATGCAACTGAATTTGATTATTAAATCTAAGAGTTTTTTGTGGACTTTTTAGTATCTTCTATGTAAAATATTGCAGCATCCACAGATAATGATAATTCTTTCTTCCTTTTATTTCTTCTTTTGTCTAATTGCTCTGGTCAATGTTTCCAGAACTGTGCTGAATAAGAGTGGTGTTGGTGGACCTTCTTGTCTTGTTCCTGATTTTAGATTGAAACCTTTCAGTTTTTGTCCATTTAGTATGATGTTGGCTGTTGGTTTGTCATAGATGGCTTTTATCAGATTGAGATAAAGACCACGTATTCCAATTTTCTGTAGGGTTTTTTTGAATCATGAGTGAGTGTTGGACTTTGTCAGATGTTTTTTTCTGCATCTGTTGTGATGATCACGTAGTTTTTGTCTTCAGCTCTGTTAATATTTTGTGTTAAATTTATTGATTTGCTATGTTGAACCATTCTTGCATCTCTGGGAAGAATCCTATTTGGTCATGGTTTATGATCTTCTTGATGATTTGCTGCACTGTTTGCCAATATCTTATTGAGGATTTTTGTGTCAACATTCATTAGGGATATTGGTGTGTAGTTGTCTTTGTCTGGTTGGATCCTCTTGTGGTTTTGGTATTGGAGTAATGCTTGCTTCGAGGAATGACTTTGGAAATATTGCTTCCCTTTCAATTTTATTAAAAAATTTGAGGAGTGGTAGTATTACAGCTTCTCTAAATTTCTTGTAGAATTCAGCACTGACTCCATTAGGGCCTGGACTTTTCTTTGTTGGTAGGTTTTTAAAATAAAAAAAAAATGTACAACGTACTTTTTATTTCCATGGAATGGAATCAAACACAGATGGAATCAAACTACAGACTGCAGAGTACGTACCAGAAATCAGTAAATGCCAGGGATGGAGTAGGAAAAAGAAGAAGTGAGGCCTAAACACACAATACCCCTTCACTGGGATCTGCTGACTGCAGCCAGAATCAGGGCTGGATCACACAATGAAGATAGGATCCAGGATAGGAGGAAAGGTACAGGGGATTGAACTTGGGTCCTTGTGTTTGCTAGGCAGGTGGTGGCACCACTGAGCTAAACCCCGGCCCGAGTAGGTTTTTAATTACATTTTCAACTTCATTTACTGGTACTGGGTTATTTAGAATTTTTATGTCTTCTGCATTCAGTTTTGCTAGTTCACATGTATCTAGGGATCTGTCCATCTCCTCTGTGTTTTCCATCTTATTAGAGTACCAGTTCTCAGAGTATGTACTGACGATCTTGTGGATTTCTGCAGGGCCTGTTGTGATTTCACACTTTGCATTCCTAATTGCATGGATTTGGGTCTTTTCATTCCCTTTTTTTGGTAGGGTTGGGTAAGGGTTTGTCAATGTTATTTAGTTTTTCAGAGAACCAACTGTTTGATTCATTGATTCTTTATACTGTTTTCTTGGTCTCATTTGCCTTAATTACTGCTCTGATCTTTATAATTTCTTTCCTTGTACCAGCTTTGGGCTTGACTTGCTCTTCTTTTTCTAGAAGTTGAGATTCAACATTAAGTTATTTATTTGAGCTCACCCTCAACAGAACTTTATGTAACAGTGAAAATATTCTATAGCTTTTCTCTCCAACATAGTGGCCACCAGCTACACATTGCCACAGAGCTCTTGAAATGGGACTGGTGTGACTTTAGGGATAGAATTTTACATCTTCTTTAATTTTCCTGTTTTTATCAAACTGGGAATTGAACCCCAGCCTTTCCACCGAGCTATATCCCCAGCCTTTTAAAAATATTAAAAAGAAATGTTGAGGCAGTCTTGCTAATTCACAAAGTTGTTTACACGGGGCTCAAATTTATAATCCTCCTGCCTCAACCTTTTAGAGTGCTAGGATTACAGACCTGTGCCACCATGCCTAGATAATTTTCTTTAATTTTAACGAATTAAAATTTTATAGCCACATGTGGCTTGTGGCTACTATATTAGCAGAGATTAAGCATATGGGAGACAACCTCATCTTACGGTCCAGGGCTCAGAGAAACCATGTGACTTGCCTGAAGCCCCACAGCTTGTAAGTGGCAGGCTGAGACCTGCATGCAGGAGAGATGACTCCTGAACTCACAGACCCTGTACCACATGCAAACAGGGTGCAGCCAAGGGGCCTCATGGCACAAGCATGTGAGCCTGAGGTGTTGGGCTTCCTGCCTGGGGTCCCTGAGAGGCCTGGGGTTCAGCAAGGTCGAGACCTCTTCTTGGATCCTGGTGCTATCCCTGCCACCAGATAACATGGGTGCACTGGGCCCGACCTCATCTGCTCAGAGTGTCATCTGCAGGAAGGAGGGGGCATGCGCTTGGTTAGTGGGACCCACACAGCCCTACAAAGACAGGAAATGGTCGTGTAGTTTGTGTTTGCCTCTTGGCCACAGTGATCCCATGCCCTGACTTCAGGTGTGCCGAAGAGAGGAGCTGGCAGGGAGTGAAGCTGATTGGTGTCAGGCACCTTACGGAGTCCTTGGAGCTCATCTAACCCCAGGAGTAGGTGCTGGTGGTGTCCTGGATGGGAGAAACCGGAGACACCAGGGCTAAATGACTCATCCAAGGTCACACGCATCTGTCCCATGAAGAGTCAGCTTCTGGTGGGACAGCCCTTGGGCACCCGTCTCTGTAGGCAGGAGAGCAAGAAGAGGGCACCAGGATTTTTTACACAACTTGCTTGCAGCAGCTGTGGACAGGTTGGGAGAATAGGGTAGGGAGCTGAGCAGGAATATGAATAATGGGGACTGATATAATAGAAAATCACTATTAACGATTATTAGTGATTATTATTAATATCAACATAGTAATTGTAATTGCACTATCTGCCCCCTCCCTGGAATCACTGTGATTTCCTGACAAAGGCCTTCTCTGGAGCCATCTGGGATGTTGGACAGTCTCTGGCATCCTCAGAGCAGTTACCAGGACAGCCTTCATTTTTGGAGCCAGTGGAAACAACATTTAAGGAAACTTATCTGCAGTCAAGGCTTTGTTTCTTTAAAGAGCAAGGAAGCCACGATTTCCATGTTCCGGGGTTCCTAATTGAATTGTGTATGTGCGGAGAAGGCGAGCTCTGAGGGTCTTTGGAAAAGCAGGCACTTTGTCACTGTCAGGGTGGCTGGCCTGCTCCTGCTAGGACACTTTGGTGGCTGCCTGGCTGCGGAGTCCTCTGTACTAGGGCCTGTCTGTGCCGGCTCATTGCCTTCAGGTCCTGCATTGTTCTCCTGCAGGCAATTCTTTTGTTTTGTTTTTTTAAAATTGAGTTTATTGGTACATTTTAGGGATACAGTACAGTTACATTCATCGTTGGGATCTTGTACCTCTACATGACAGGTCTTGGTTCTCATTTTTTCCCCTTGTTCCTGCCCTCCCTTCACTCCTCCTCCCCTCCCCATTTACAACCACTTTATTTCCATCTTTTCATTTTCTCACATTTTTTCTTTTGGCAGGGAAACTCTTAAGAGACAAAGAAAAACAAAACAGACCCTCTGCTGTTTGAAGGTGGTGCCGCTGAGTCTTCTGTCCCTGGTACATCAGACTATCGGAGGATGGTATTCTGAGATTTTTGCAGTAGAGGATAGGAAGTCTTTAATGGGGGCTTTCATCTTGGCTTTGCTGTGATCTAGCTGCGAAAGCTTGTGCAAGTTACTAATCCTCCCAGAGACTAAAAGTCTGACCTTATTAAAATGAATAGCAGTGTTTAACGGTTGGGGTACAGGTTGAACTGCATCGCCCCCAAAGATGTGTTGGAGTCATAACCCTCAGAAATGAGGTCTTTGTAGATGTAATTAAGATGAAGTCAGACTGGAGTAGGGTGGGCCCTTAATCTATATGACTGGTGCTCTGGGTTCCATGCCCGGCTCTGGAAGGAACAGTAGGCATTGTCCGGCATGACTAGTGTTCCTAGAAGAAGAGAAGACCCAGGCCCATGAGCGGGGAGGCCATGTAAAGGTGGCGACAGAGACTGAGAGGCCTGGGGCACCAGGACCTGGGAGAGGTGAGAAAGGATCCTCCTAGAGCCTTCAAAGGGAGCATGGCCCTGTCCACGCCTGATGTAGGGCTTCCAGCCTCCAAAGCCAGGACAGTAAACTTCGTTGTTTTAAGACATCCGGTTTTGGTTCTTTGTTATGGCAGCCCTAGGAAGCTACTGCAGTGGGTGGGGGGTGGTTTTAAGGAGTTAAAGACCTGCTTCAGTGCCTGGAGTGCATGGTTGTGAAGAAATGTTTGTTTCTCCTTCCTTCACAGCTCTGGGGTCCTGCAATACTGCGGAGGAGAGATAAGTGATGTGGCTGACATCACACCCCATGTTTGGGCTGCCTGTGCCTGTGCACTTGTCTCAGGTAAGTCATTTGACCTTTCTGGTCTCAGTGCCAAGAAAGGAAAGCAGCCTTCATTTCCAGAACAGCCTGGCTCCCTTAGCACGGGTGTGGTGGGGCTGTATGCTGGTCCAGTACTCACAGGAGGGCCCTAGCACCACAATAAGGGATGACTGAAATATATGGTCAGTGTTTACCTTAAAATTATTACAGAAAAGAGACATTGCCATTTATTATCCTCCACATAATATAATCCCCTTGCTTCAAACATGCTTATCCCATCATTCTTGTCACTGTCTGAAGCAGCTCTGGAAGTCCTCTTTCACGCGAGTCTTTTATGGGGTGTGGTAAAAAATACAGTGAATGCTGCTGCTGAGGGCCACCCAATGGGCAGGTGGGCTTGTAAACCCTGATAGTGTGTGTCGATCAGCTTAGTCCCTGGGCCTCACATGGTGAGACTTCTTTCTGGCTCTTCCTTAAAGTAAAAATGACCACAAATGGTAGATTGTTCTTTGATTCAAGACTTTGAGATAGCTATGGTAATGCAAAGAGGTAGTAAAAGAGGACTTTCAAAATCGCTTCAGAAGTTGGCAAGAATGTTGGGATATGTTTTTGAAGTGGAGGAGACTATTGTGAGGCAGGCTCATGGCAATGTCTTTTACTGTAATACATTAAAAAAATTGAACATTCACGGCTTGTACCATTTCATAGACCATCAGCACCAGAGAAGGACACTCTGTAACTATGGGAAGTCAAGATGAAAACAAGAGACCCTTTCGTGATCATGTCTGCGTACGGAAGAAATGTGAGTTTTGTCTTAACCACAAGATGCCAAGCAATCCCTTGCTCTGGCTGATGGGATGGTTTCTTATCCAATCACAACTTCATTCGCCAAGCTTTGTTGCTCCCACCATCTCAGTAAGGTTTATTAAAATAATCACAGAATTATGCCCATTTCCTGACAGTATCCAATCTAGAACAGAGCCCCACCTTCTGAGTGCTTCCCCAAATCTGACAGGAGCCCGAATCTGAATAGTCCTTTCCCATACTCCTTCATGGGGATGCCCTATCATTCCCCATGGTGGTCTCTCTTTCTCCTTACACCACTCTCCTTATCTAACTTGCTCACCACCCTGTGACTCTGGTGGATCCTGACTGTCAGACAGGGAGAAGAGCAGACTCAGGCACTGTAATAGGAATCACCCAGTCAGCATCTCTCCTAGAGCAGAGTTTGGTACCTGCTGAGTGAAAGATAAAATATCTGTTGTGATTGGGATTGTGGGCTGACTTAGCAACCGTTCCCTTCCCTTTCAGTAACAGCACTGAATTTCCTTGGGCTGCCTTGTTTCCTTTATTATTACACCACTGCTTTGGTTTTAGTTGAAATTACTACCGTCTCCAGGAGTATGCACGTGACTCAGATCTATCCAATCAGCACACTCTATTCCCTAAATATAGTGATTGGTTCAGAGAGAGCACGTGAGTCCGATCAGTCCAATCAGATTGCATCATGGGACTTATGTGGGTGCTTCTGGAAATAGGTTCTCCCTTTTCCAGTGGTGGTAAGAGAGATGTGGTCAGGGGCTGTTAGAGGCCAGTGAGAGGAGCCAAAAAATGAGGCTGGTGAAATGGAAGGCATAGAATCCCTTCTTATATAGAATAATGTCCTTTAAGACCTATTCCTATATAGCAATAGTTTCCTAGATGCTAATACAAGTGGTTCTTAAACCTCTCTCTGTGATTATCTTGGTGTGGAAAAGAAATGCAAGGTACTAAATTTTGTGTCAGTTCTAACAATATTATTGTTGTTGTATGTGGGTTTTAAATGTGCAGTAGATCAAAGGTGACTGAATCAGGTGAAGGAGCTTTACCTCAACAATGTTTTCAATGTGTAGATTCATTGAACTCTTGTGTCCTTCAACAGTTGAACCACAGTAAGCCAGCAGTCATCACCATTGCTATAGTGGGGTGTGGTCCAGGAGTGGGCGGAGCAGCAGGTGGGGTCAGCCAGGTGCCTTAGCTGTGTGTGTGCTGTTGGGTGGTCCCTGAAATGCAGCCCTGCACCTGTGCTGTTTCTTGGATCTTAGAGGGGGTCACATGGCCTCAGCCTTTCAGCACAGCCGTCTAGAAGGGGCAAGGTGGGAGCTGGGGATGTGCAGGAGGCCTTGTCTCTTTTCCCTTTTCCATCTGGGGAAGGAGATCAGCGTGCATGGGGTGTGGGCTATGGAGCTCCAGAAGATTCATATCCTGGCTGTGCTGCCTGCCAGCTCCTTGTCCTTGTTTGGGTTTCTTAACCTCAATTTACATCTTTGCAACCCGGAGAGGGAGCCAGGGTGTGCTGGGGGTGGATTGGATGACACCCCTTGACCCCCACAATGTGCCAGTGTAGCAGTGCTCAGGGAAGAGCAGCCCTGGGCCTGTTGCCCTGTGAATGCCTGGGGACCAGTGCGGTGCTGGCCATGTGCTGGGTGCTCTGCTCCCAGGCCAGCTGCTGCTGCTAATCTGGGGGGGTTGTGGCTGGTGTCCTTGTGCTGGTTGGTTCTATCCCTGTCTTCCCAGCTCTGACCCAACCTGTGATCCTGGGCCTCTGTTGCTAACCTGTGGGGCCACTGGGAGTTGGCAGGAGATGGCTTTGGAGCAGTGGAGCCCTCCTAGGGGCAGGGAAAGCAGCCATAGCAGCAGGTCTGGAGTAGCTCAGCGCCTGAACACCCACTTGACTTGGCCTAGTCACCTCTCCCCGTTTCTTACAATACTGGAGCCACCTGGGCCTTCGTGCTGCTTCTAGAACATTCCAGTGAGGCTCTCATGCCTCTGCCTTTGCTTTTTAAAAAGTACTTTTGAAGGTTTACTAAGTTATACTTTTAAAACAACTTTTATTAGTACGCGTGTGCAGTACATAATGATCACCTTCATCATGGGGAGTTGGTGTGTGTACATAAAACATCTTAATTCCTTTTTCCCGTCTCCTCCTCTCTCTTCCCCTTTCCTCCATCTCTTGGTCTCCTTCCCACTGGCAAAAGGTCTACCTCTATCTTTTATTTTGCTCTTTAAATTATTCATACTTTAGGTTTCTCACATAAGAGAAACCATTTAATATTTAAGCTCAAATGGCTGATTTATTTTGCTTAGCATTATGGTCCCAGGGTTGACCCAAATGTATCCTTCTCCTTCTCTGCCTTTGCTTTGGCTCTTCTCTCTGCCTAGAACACTCTCCCAGCTCCTCTCAAGACTCCCCCTTCTCATTCTCAACTCTAACATCTCTTCACACAGCGTTTCTAAAGCTACTCCCCCTGCTAGACCTGCTTCTGAAACTGGCCCCGGCCCCGGGGCATACGGAGGAAGACCTCTGAGATGTGTGTGTTTGCTGCCAGCTGCCCACCTCCAAGCAGGCTGGAATTCAGTGAGGACAGGAGGTGTGCAATGGGCGCAAAGCTGGGGAGGAGGAAGGCATCAATTTACATCTGTGGAATGATTTGAGATCGGCAGACTCTGGCTTGTGCAGGAGCTGACTGTTTTTACAAATAAAGTTTTATTAGAACACAGGCCCCCATGTTTCCATATTGTCTAGGGCTGCTTCTGTACTACAGGGACAGAGCTGAGTGGCTGTGATAGAGACCGGCTGGTTTGCACAGCTTGGGATACTTACCGTGTGGGCTGTTTTCGGGGAAATCTTGGCCGTGTGGAGCAGGTAGTGCAATTCCACCAGCTGGGGTATGTTGGGTGGCAGGAGGGAGAGCTGTGACTATCTGCACCCCTGGCTGTGGTTGGCAGGGGCTTCAGAGGATGGTCCTGCGGGCCAGGCTGGGATGTGCACCCACTGCAGCTTTTGGTTCTGGTGTCCACAGAGTGGTGCTGAGGATATGGAGGGCTCTTGCTGCCCTGGGAGCCCCAGATCAGTGCAGCGGTGGAGTACAGAGGTGGACAGCTATGAGTCATGAACCCACTCTAGCTGTGCAGTCTGGGCAAGACTCAGCCTCCTTCTCCCAGCTTCTTTTTACTCTGCCACAGAATGAGAAAGATCATGGTTGGGGGAAACAATGTGGCAACCAGAAGCAATTTTGAATCTTGCTCGTGACACTTCCTGCATTAAAATCCTTCAGTGGGACACCTAGGTGCCTCACACTGGGGTCCATGTGGCAGGATGCTTGGTGCTAAGATGGGACCAGAGGCTTCATCCCAGGTGATGGTACCCCTTGGGGATGACGACAAAGTTGGGAGCCAGGTTTGGTTGTGGAAACCCCGGTGGGGAAGGATTTGCAGCTGGGCAGAGTTGCTGCTGAGCCTCCTGCAAAGCACAGGGTGTATGCGGGGCAGAGAGCGACCGGGCTCCGGATGTCAGTGGTCTGAGGCTGAGAGTCTTGGACCCAGGATAAAGCATCTTCCAGAGCTGTCAGTTTTGCTGGCTGGTGCACATTTTAAACCATACTTATTATAACAAGGGCAAATAAATGTAGAGGAGAAAGCAACATTCACACCATTTTTAAACAAAGCTCAGTGGTCCCCATAGTGCACTGGAAAGATGAGAAATCTTTTTGCCCCTGCTCAGTTGTCCCCAGCCCTAGGATCCGCAGTGCTGCCCTAAGTCCAAACTCCAAGCCCCTAACATAGTGTTGATGTCTTGTACACACTTTCCTTCCTTTTGCTCCCCAGCCTGGACTCTCAGAAATATTCTTTCATCAGTCTACATCTTGGCAGCCTGGTACGGTGGCTCATGTCTGTAATCCCAGCACTGTGGGTGGCTGAGGCAGGATGATCGCAAGTTCAAATCCATCCTGGGCAATTTTGTGACTCATTGAGACCTTGTCTCACAAGAAAGAAAAAAGGAGGGAAAGAAAGGAAAGAAGGAAGGAAGGAAGTAATGCGTTCACTATGAGCCAGGTACCAGTAAGAATTTAATTCACATTCCCTTCAGTATCCCAAGTATCAGGAGTACCTCTCATCAGGCAAGCACTCCTCTGCTTCTGAACACAAAAGTCCTCCATGTTTCCTTTCCCAAGCAAACCCCTATTCATCCCTTAAAACCCAGTTCAGTCAACCACTTACGAGTGTGGACTCTCAATCCAGCTGTTTGGGTTTGCACCCGCTTCTGCTTCTTGCTTCCAGGGTGTTCTTGGGCAGACTGCTTTCCTTCTCTGTGTGTCAGCTTTCTCTTTTAAAAGATGGGATGATCGCCAGATTATTTCCCTCACAGTGCTCCTGTGAGGAGTGAGTGAGGGAAGCGATCCTGATTTTTTTTTACGCTTCCTTTGACCTTTCCCCCTCCTATCAGATCTGCTGGGATCTGGGTCTCAAAAAGCTTTTCCGGGTCTGTTAGTGGATGTCTGTAGACACAAAGGTGATCCAGAAGCAAGGCTCAGTAGCTGCAGTTTGTAGGATTAGGTGTTAAACTCTGAGGAAAAAAGAAATAGATCCTAAATAAATTTCGATGCCCATGGGAACAGCTTCTGCTACCACTGCGGAAGTTCTGCTCAGATTTCCCAGGCAGCCTGGGATCCTGCATGGCGTTTGGGCACCCTCGGGAGTTCAGGCAAATAAGAGGCCACAGGGATGGGAGAAGGTCATGCCCAGGGACTCTGAGCTGGGTGGCTCTAAAGTTTCTCATCCTGCAGCCAAGCTGGACCTAGAGCTCAAGGGCATTGCTTCTGTTTCTCTGGCAGCAATGGCAGTGGCAGGAATAATAATGCCGTGTGTTCACAGAGGGCTTCGTACGTTCTCATTTCCACCCTCCTCTGTGCTGTGCAGCCGTCACTTGTGGTGACGTCCCAGCTCTGCCTTGGCTGCTTTTCTGACCTCGGCCAGATGTCT